TGCTTCCTGTGCAAACTTCCCTGCTTTCAATGTTCCACAGTCACTGCCTACGTGGCTTTCATAGCATCCTGCACCTCTGGTTTTCCTTTCAAGGGGCAGATTTGTGGACAAAGATTATTCAGATCTAACACACATTGCCTGAACAAATGTCTGCTAAAGGAGTTTTGAGAACTGATTAGATGTTGGCAAGGTCCTCAAGGAGCAAAACAAAGAGATGCTTCATAGCAGGACAAGTAGGAACAAAAGAGCTGGTTCCAGCCTCTGAAGTCTTTTGAGCACCCCCCTGCCTGTCTGTTCCAGCCTTAAGCCTTAGGATGCCCCATGGGTGCTGCAGACCTTGACTCAGAGCTGGGACCGAGCTGCCTGGCCCATTTGTTTCAATGAAAAGCACAAGCCACGCTGCTCCAAATTGGGTTGTAAATGCTCTGCCAAGCGTGGCAAAGCCGAGTTAATGCCACAGAGCTGCCCCAGCGCCGTGATTTCTGTCTGATAAGAACCCCCAGTGCACTGGGATTAGCCCAAAGCGCGATGCTGCTGCAATCCCTCATCCATGGGGATTTAGCAGCAGCATCCCAGCCTGGCGGGGAGCATCCCTCTCCGTGCTCTTGTATTGATTTGGCATGGTGGGAGCAAGATTGAAGGATGCTGAGGCTCCTGCTCACACAAGGAAGGAGCGAAAGGTTTCAGAGGGATCAGAGATTCATTGCAGGTGTATCCCTATTAAACCTCTGAGAAGAACCAGAGGTTTTCTCAGGGCTTTGATCCCATTTGATACGGTTCTGGCCGAGCCCTGATGTCCTCATCTCTCCCATCTCTCTCCACAGGTCCCTTTCTTCGGGAAGCGCCAGCACCACACCTGCCCCTGTTCACCCAACCTCATCTGCTCCCGGTTCCTCGACAGCCGCTACCGCTGCTCCATCAACTTCAAGAACATTGATTTTTAGGGTGATGCTCCTTGTTCTCCATCCATGAGCCCCCAGCACCCATTTCTTGCCCTCTTCCATGGCCATTGAGTACCCACATAGTGCCAGGCAACCTTTAAAGTGCTTTTCCAAGGTAGAAAGTGTTGTTATAAACTGTATGTTATATAGGAAACCTGAGGAGCGGTCAGGCCAAACTGCTGTGGCATGTGGCTCTGCCCCAGCCTTTAGCAGATCCTGACTCCAGCATCCTCTGGATGGAAGGACAGTGTGTGTGTGCCAAGTGTCTGTGGCCCCAGAAATCCCTTTCATAAGGGATTTGCAATTCCTACTGGATAAATCATTTCTGTAATGATAATTTCCATTGTGATATTGCCTGACCATGTCTTATCCGTGTGTTTCTTCCCTGGAAACAGCTCTTCAAGCTGGTGATCTAATATAGCCTGCAGTTAAAAGGAGCCACAGTCAAGTAGCTGTGGGGAGTTAAGGAATGGGTTTTCCCAAAGTGCCAGCAATGCAGTGTGTTTGGCAGAGGCTGAGGCAGGGTGCCAGATGCGGGTCTTTGGGATCTTTTGGCCTCAGCATCTGCCTGCGGCTCAGACCCCGTATGAGGACTGGAGGCTTCTCTATGTCAGCTGAATTCAAGAAGAGAATGGGCTACTCAAGTTACCTTACTAATAAAGTGATCCCAGACACGTGCTTTCCATTTACCCCTGAAATATATACTGTGAGAAACTTGTGTATCATCACTTGAGCTTCCCTCCTGCTTCTTAGAGCAACCCCTGGCAAGAATAAATCAAAGAAATAAATAAGAATAATCAGCATTTACAGCTGATTCCCAAAACAAAATCCCTCAAAACAACCCGATCAGTTTCCTTTTAAGCAATGCTTAAACACAGAACTTCTGGGGCTTTTAATGTGCTCAATGGCTCTGGAAAGCCCTTGGGGTTTGGTGCTGGGAGCTGTGGCACCCCTCTCTGGGCCATCCCTGTTTGGTGGGATTGGGTGGATTTTGGTTCTAGAGCAGCAACAGTTTCTATTCTAAAGACCCCAGAGACCCCCAAATGCATGCATGTGGCAGATGCTGGGTTACCGTGGGGAGTGAAGTAACTGAGATTTGGTGTTTGACGCTGGGTGAAAGCAGTCCTGCCCTTGTTTCTCCCTCCAGGAATACTACACATTTGGCGACAGTAAACCACTGCAATGCCCAGGTTCATTCTATTTAGGTGGTTTTTTACACATCAGAATCTTTGTTTCTTCTTTACAAAAGAAGAATCCTGCGGTGGGGATGCTGCAGTTGCCCCGGCCCATGGCTCAGCACTGGGACCATGGTAAAAGTGTTTGGGGAACACCAGGGGTTGCCGAATAGAAAGGGATTCCCCACAGCAATACAGGGGGAAGAAGTCAGGAAAATCATAGAATCCCATCCTGGTTTGTGTTGGAAGGGACCTTAAAGCTCATCCAGTTCCAACAGCTTGCTCCAAGCCCCTGTGTCCAACCTGGCCTTGAGCACTGCCAGAAAAACACAATATTTCATAACAGTGTTAAAAAAAACTATAGTTTCATGGTTTGGGTTTCTTTTATTAAGCTGATTCCCTTGTGCCCTCCCATCATGAGGTTTTCACACATCCACAGCTGTGTATGTGTGGAAGTGATGTCTCATTTCAGTTTCCATAGTTTAGAACAATCCGGTCACAGTTGTTTCTCCATAAAGAATCTCTATTAAATGCCCCTTTCCCAGTAATGAACCACTCTGTGCTATGAGATGGCCTGGAAATAACAGCTAACCCTCACTTATGGTCTTTACTGGTAGAGCAAAACAACAGCCAAAACCTGATTTATTTATCTGATGCTCATTTTCCCTCTCAGTGGTCAGGATGGCTCCTTCTCTAATTTGATTTCATTGCTTTGATACAGGAGATTGACAAGGAAATTACCTCTATCCATAGAAAACCCTATTAAAAACTGAGTTTGGTTCTTTCCTCCTGTGCAGCTGCAATGAACACGCTCAGCAGGTGACCAGGAGAGAGATCCAAGAGCCAATGGTCCTTGCTGCTGCTGCTTCATGTCTCCTGTGCTGAGGGTTAAGGGGCTATTTGCATCCCTTATTGACAAATGAGGCTCCATCACTGATGGGGATGGGAGATGGCTCACCTGATGTGGACAGGGATGCAGGGAGAGCGATCCAGAGGTCACATAGCACTGGGTCACACACTGCTGGAGGGTGGGAATCCCTCATGCCCAAGCACAAGAGGGACCCAAGCCTGGATTTTGGGCAGATGGGGCTTTACCTCAGCTCCATCACAGGAATTTTCTCATTCATAGAATCATAGAATAGTTTGGGTTGGAAAGGATCTTAAGATCATCAAGTTCCAACCCCCCCTGCCATGGGCAGGGACACCTTGCTCTAAACCATATTACCCAAGGCCTCGTCCAACCTAGCCTTGAACACTGCCAGGGATGCAGCATTCACAACCTCCCTGGGCAACCCATTCCAGTGCCTCACCGCCCTAACAGGAAAGAATTTCCTCCTTACATCCAGTCTAAACTTCCCCTGTTTAAGTTTTAACCCATTACCCCTTGTCGTGTCACTACAGCTCCTAATGAAGAGTCCATCCCCAGCATCCTTATAGGCCCCCTTTAGATACTGGAAGGCTGCTCTGAGGTCTCCATGCAGCCTTCATTGTTATGAGCAAGAAGAAATGAGCCTGGTGCAGTGGGAGCTATGGTTCTGAGAGTCAGCACCGCCTGGACCAGCCCCTGCCAGGATGGACGAGACACAGCAGGAGCATCCGCAGGCATCCTACCGCTGAGTGGCATGGGAGAGGGAAGCCGTGTCCTTATTCCAGGCAGGACCAACAGCCCAAATGCTGTTGGAAGGCAGTTCCTACGCCCTCCTGGCATGTCTGTTTTGCACTGGTGCCAAGAGTCCCTGGCAAATGCCATCCTGCTATGGGCTTCCTCCATGAGAGCATCCCTCATGGCCAAAGCATCCCTGCCCACATCTGCGTTTACACATGCAATAAAGAAACAAACCAGCTAAAAGCTTCCAAGCAGGAATTAGAGAGGGGGAAACACACACTGGGATTGGCTACATCCTGGGAAATGTCTATCCTGGAGTGCCATCTCGTGGCTGCGGTGCCAACACTGTACACTGGGGAAGCGCAGAAGTAGCTGCCTGGTGGCAACAGCATGCTCCCTCCAGGGCTTGCTTGGAAGTAGCGGCTCTAAGGAGCAGGGAGACGCTTCTAAGTGACAACTACATCACATGTGACCGGAGTCCAGCGTGCTGCAGGGATAAAAAGCAGCCAGGGCATCATCCTGATAAAGCAAAGAGGGTTTCTTTTGTCTTCTTTTCAGCTTTTTCTATGGCGGCACAGAACTTCAAGTGGGAATTCAGGCTGTGCGTGTGCTGGATGACATGACAGATTGGCTCATTAGGGCCTGACTCAAGAATAGCACAGTTACTAAGAGATTTCTATGGATTTCATTGAGCTTTGAGCTTTGGGCTTCTATTTAGGAAGGTGCTAAGCTGCAAATTGTGTGGGATAATGGATTTTCTGGCAGGTTTTTGTCAAGCACCAGCTGAGTGTTGGCACTGGGTATTCATAGCCTGGTTTTCCTCCTCTTCACTTTAGGATGAACTAGAAACAAGCTATTGTGGCTGGAAAATTTTAATGCCTCTGACCCTATCCTCATAGAATAAATCAGGGATCCCCCTCATACCTGGCCTTCTGCAGTGGGCAGTGTGAGCCAAACTGCTGGGGAAGCCTCTGCACTGCAGTTCTGGAGCTCTAGAATGTCCCATGTCTCAACCCAGCCCCATGATTTCCAGCCTGGAGCAGCACAAAGCCAAGGGCAAAAAGCTGAGTCCAAATAAAGAGGGTTTTCTGCATGCCAGACTTCAAAGCATCTATTCTTTTATCTGAGAATAAAGTTTACAAGTTAATGAGAATCAGGTTGTCCGTCCGTCCATCCATCCATCCATCCATCCATCCATCCACCCACCCATTCATTCATCCACCCACCCGTCCATCCATCCACCCACCCATCCATCCCAGCACCATTCCAGGCCCTGTTCGCTAGGGGAGCAGGAGCAGTAAAGATGAGCTCATTGCTGACCAGGCTGAGCTCTAAAAATTATCAAAGAATGAGTAAATTCAAGCTTTCTGGAGGAAAAGGAGAAAGAACCTGCTGTGAAATAGGAACAATGACATGGCAGAGCTGCTAGAGGGGATTGAGGGATGAATGGAGAGGAGCTGTATGTCTCAGGGTGCTGCTCTCCAGCTGTGCCCAGATGTGCATCCTCCAGCTGTCCCCACAGATGATGAGAACTTGAAAATGATGGCAAGGAGATGAAACAGCTCTCAGAGCTCCTGCTGCTGGCTGGGATGACACTGTGGGGCTTGTAAGGTGAGGAAGAGGATGGTGGAAGGATGGGGAAAAGCTCTTGGAGAGCAGGTTAAAAGGGGGATTTGTCTCTCCTGAAGGAATTGTGCTGGTCATGACCCAGATCCATCTCTCTGGGGTGTAAAAGACCTCATTGCAGAAAGCCAGCCCACAAAAAAACCCAACCCAACCCCCAAATAACAACCTTCCTGGCCCAGGATTGCAGGATTTCTGCATGGGGAAAATCCCAGCAAGGCCAAAGTCGTGTTTTCCAACAGAGCAGGAATAAACCCCGAATATAAACCCCATCTTTCACCACTCCATTCTGAATGAAACTGCAAAGCAGAGATGCTGGCACATTGTGTAACGATCATATTGAATCTTTAGGAGATGAGACATCGAGTATAACAGATGTGGGATATAAAAGCGGATGTGTAGACACTGCTTGAGAAACTGTGATTTTAATGTAGGCAGAAACATCAGCAAAAGCCAAGTGAAACAGTGAAGCTGGAACAAAATGTTTTCGGAAGGAAACCTGCTGGCATTAGAGGGAACGGCAAAATGATGTGGTGCTGGTTTCTCCCTTCTGAAGTGCTGATGGAAATGTGCATGGTGCAGAGAACCACAAGTGCCTTTTCATGGTGGGAAGCTGAGCCATTGGGATACTTCAGCCCTCATTGCTCTGTGCCCCATTGGCAGCAACGTAAGTGACAATCAAAGCCACAAGGGCTTCGTACACCAGCTAACCCCTGAGTCAAGCATTTGCTGCAGGAGAAACGCCCTTCCCTGTCTCAAAACTCAGTTTTCCCTCATAAATCCTATTGAGCCATGGCATCCCAGACCTTCTTTGGTGGCTGTGCCACCATGACTGGTCATCATCCCTCTCCTCCTAATCCCCTCACCTGGTTGCTTGTCTCCATCCATTACTGCTGTGCCAACAGGATGATGTAGGCAGGAAGACCAAGAAACTCGTCCAGCTACAAATACAACTTGTAATTTATTCTATTCACCAGCTAATTTTCCAGCCAGAGCATTCCCAACTCTGGGAATTGGTCAGAGCCCCAGATCCTAAGTGATGCGTAGGGAGAAACTATGTTAAATGGATAGCAGGGAGCTGGACCCACCTTCATCCAGCTGGGTGACACTGAGCATTTAATGTCATTTTGCCCTTATTCCTCCTTTGATAAATGGGGGAATTCTCTGTAGATGGGGAGCTCCACTCTGAAGCTATGGACAGAGAAGGTAAAAGCGGATGAGCATCAAATTAACAAAAACCAGACTGATGGGCAGGGCAGAGAGATAAGAAAGATGGTGTTTATTTGAACAGCCACAGGAAATCAGAGATTGAAAAATGCCTAGAGAAAAAAAAAAATAGAAGAAAATAAGCAGCAGCACATTTGGTTTTAAAAAAGAAATCACAGCATGCAGATGGGTTATTCCTTATCCAGCCAATCCCACCACACAGAGCCCAGTCCCATCATGGCCTCAAGCATCATTTTTTGGCCTTGTCTCGAGGGTAACCCCCATTGGTCTTATTGAGGGACTCCATGCTGCCGTTGCCCGTCACCACGCTGGCGAGCATTCGCTCCACCTCCCCGGGCAGGATTTGCTTCTCTTCGTTCTCCGTCTCCCTGTGGTAGAAATAGTTGAAGTTCGAGACGATGACAGGGACGGGCAGTGCAATGGTCAATACCCCTGCAATGGCGCACAGAGTCCCTACGATCTTCCCACCCAAGGTGGTGGGACACATATCTCCATAGCCAACAGTCGTCATCGTGACCACGGCCCACCAGAAGCCATCAGGGATGCTGGAGAAGTGGGACTGTGGTTCATCCACTTCTGCGAAGTAGACGGCGCTGGAGAAGAGGATGACGCCGATGAAGAGGAAGAAGATGAGCAAGCCCAGCTCCCGCATGCTGGCCTTGAGGGTCTGCCCCAGGATCTGCAGCCCCTTGGAGTGCCGGGACAACTTGAAGATACGGAAGACCCTGACCAGCCGGATGATCCGCAGGATGGCCAAGGACATGTTCTGCTGCCCGTTGAGTTCGCTCTGCTGGATCAGCTCAGTGGTGAGCGTCACAAAGTAGGGAATGATGGACACGATGTCGATGATGTTCATGATGTTCCTAAAGAATTCGGTCTTGCTGGGGCACACGATGAACCGGACAAAGAGCTCGAAGGAGAACCAGATGATGCAGGCAGTCTCTATGACGAAGAAAGGGTCTGTGAAGGTACTGTGGGCCAGCAAGGTGTCCGTCAGATTCTTGGAAAGCTCCTGGGTGGACTTAAACTCCCTTTCCTCCCTGAACTCCGGCAAGGTCTCCATGCAGAAGATGATGATGGAGATGACAATGACCAGGACAGAGACCAAGGCTACACCTCTGGCTGCACTGGAGCTTTCAGGGTACTCAAAGAGCAGCCAAAATTGCCTATGAAAGTCATTAGTTGGTAAGAGGGTCTCAGGGTCTTTGATGAACCCTTCATCCTCCCTGAACTGGTCCATGGCTTCATCACCCAGCTCGTAGAAGGTGATTTCGTCAGCAAAGACATCAATGGGGACATTAGCAGGGCGCCGTATTTTCCCACCAGACTGGTAATAGTACAGGATCCCATCAAAACTGGGCCTGTTCCTATCAAAGAAATACTCATTCCTCATGGAGTCGAAGTAACGCATCCTCTTTTCTGGGTCGCCGAGCAAGGTCTCAGGGAACTGGTTGAGGGTCTTGAGCCGCGTCTCAAACCTCAGCCCAGCGATGTTAATGATGACTCGTTGGTCCCCCTCATCCATACCCACCCTCTCCCCCACCAGATGCTCACTGAACTCGGCGGAGAACCTGGAGAAGATGGTCTCATTGTTGGCGTTTTCGCTGTTGATGAGGATGCGCAGGTTGGAGAGGAGGTTGGCGCAGCTGGGGTGGCCTTTCCGCGACTGGCTGGCGGGGCTGAGGTCGTTTGAATAACAGGGATCCTCCACAATCTGATCAGCGTTGTCAAAACTGACTAGTGCCACCTCCATCTCCTTCCAACTGGACACGTCCATCATACACTAATCAGATTAGCAGCATAAATCCCCGGATCGGATGCCGGCAGCTTGCGTCTTTCCCACGCTATGAGGATCTGCAAGTGAACGGACAGGGAGACAGAGCTGAATTGGGCAGATGGATCACTTGGCTCAGCTAAAAGGAATAAACCAAACCTGAGATCAGAAAACCTTGCGTTTTTCAATGGAAACCTGCATTTCATTGACTGCCAAAAGCAAGCTGTTCACCTCTGGATCCTTCAAGCTCCTTTTGGCATGGCTTCATTAGCATCACAAAACCTCCCAGTATCATGTACAGCACCCAAGGGTAAAAGGTCAGGCAGTAGCAGAGGATGGGGGTGAACCCAGGTGTCCCACCCAGCCTTTCCCCAGCAATCCCAGCCCTGCAAAGCAAGGGGTCATTTCAGACATGGCCAGTTGTAGATCCAGGGCTTGGAGCAGGATTTGGAGGTGTTAAACATGGGAGTTCTGGTTAGCAGCAGCCTTGCTGCAGCTGGGGGAAGCACTGAGTCAAACCCCAGGGAGTCCTTGACATGTTGCAGCTGGATCAACCGGTGTTCAGGAAGCAATTCCCAAACTAGGAGCCATAGTGGGATTTGGGGAGTGCAGCCCAGAAGGCAGGCGGGTCAGGAGGAGAAGGACGTGTCCACCAGCCTTGCAGACCCCCTTTGATTTGTGTGAAGAGGGGTAAGAGCTGCGGTAAGAACCCCTCATCTTGATCCAGACTTTGGCTGGGCAGAGGATGGGTTGATGTCAGAGCTGTGCCTCCTGCATGGTAGACCTGATATTCCCAGCCTGAGGAAGGAGATGAGGACTCAGGTCACTTGGAGAGCATCTTTTGGGCCGCAGGGTGGATTTTTAACCAGACCAGCTCCATCAGCAACAGACACCATGTCCCCAGATACTCCTGGGCACACGCTCCCCTTCATGCTGCTGCTGTTGTACTGAACTTGAAGGCAAAGTCAAAGAAGAGCCCAGGGACCAGGCCAAGTTATAGAGCTGAGAAATTACCTTTCCTGCCTCAGGGAGAAGCATGAAGAGAAATTAGATGTTAATGGGGAACGGTTCTGGGGAGAATTGCCCCAAAAATGCACTTTCCAAGTGAATCCAAGCCTTTGATTTATTTCCTTTCCAGCTCTTTTCCCCCAGAAATATCTTTTCCAGCCAGCAGAACCCCCAGAAGGACCCCCAGAGCTGCTCTGTGTGACCGCTCATCACCAAGGGCACCCCGGCTCTCTTCCCCTGCCAAGTTCAGGGACTGGGAATGAAAACACCCAAATGCCCAAGAATAGCAACACAATTTAGGCCACGTCTGCAAGGAGCAGCAGTGGTGCTGGGGCAGGTCCTGCGGTGAGGATGCTCCTTCCCCTTTCCCCAGAAGCAGACTCATCCCTCCTTGCTGGTGCACTGCAGGTGGGGTTGGGTAGGACCAGCTAGAAACCTGAATCTGCTGCAGAAGTAGGTGGTAACATCCTGGCTTGCTACAAATCCTCCCTCTTTTGCTCTCAGCATTACAACCCCAAAAGCAAGACTTCATACAGGAGTCAGGACCCATATCCCAGACAAGGGCTCAACCTTACTCTTTCCTTAGCAGTCATGAAATTCTGGATTTGGGGACAAATCCCACAATTTATCATAAGCTGCTTAAAGGTCACATTTCTTTGCTTAAAATAAAGCCACGGAGCATGGTTGTTCTTAGGCATCCGTCTCTATAGGGCTGCTTCTGGCTGGTTTTGTGACAATTTTCCTACTTGGACACATCTAGAGAGGAGCATTTGGGACAACAGAGCAGAAACAGAGCCTAGAGGAAGCCGAGGCAGAGTGGGTTTCCCCCCAGGAGGAACCTTCTGCAAAGCTGAGGAGCCCAAATGGCTTCAAGACCGAGTCCTCCAGCCCCAGCGATGTCCTCTCAGGGATGCCCACAGTGCAGCAGCTCTCCATGAAGCTGGATTCAGCTCAGACTTGACTTTTCTCTGTTGAGAAGTTGTTGCGGGCAGGATGAGATCATCAGAGCAGTGCTGGGTGCAGAAAGTGCAGCACAACCTTGGCAGGGAGACAGCAACCAAGAGCTGCAGATAACCCACGTTTCAGCCCCCATGTAGCATCAGGAGGGAGGGAAAGGGGTAGTCAGGTATGACCAGCCCAAATAAAGCTCTTTTGAGGGGAAAAACAAGCATTAAAGGAAAAAGGAAAAGCAGCACGTACAGAATCATAGAATCATATCCTTCTCATATTCGTAGTTTTAACATAAACTCCCAAAGAAAATGTTTAAATCAGAAAAAAAAAATCCCATAAAGAAAAATAGGTTTGAATGAGGAGAACGGGAGTGCTTAGTGTTGAGCTGATGGGTGAGGTGACCTGTCCCACCACACAACTCACCACACTCTGTCCTGATGGGACAACCCCGAGGGGACCGCAAGCCCAGGAGCTTCTCTCCACAGTGGGGCAAAGTTAGAGCAGCTAAAGCTGACCATGAGACCACGTCCTAAGGCAGTGCCGTGGGATGATCTCGGTACTTTGAGCATTAAATGCGCTTAACTCTTATTACAACCCACTGGCCCCGTGGGCAAGAGAAGTTCCCAGCCCTTGCTTGGTGGGATGAGGCTTTTGGTCACAGAAGAACTTGTGTTTATCCTGAAATGTGGCTTTGCCCTGGAGCCTCCATGCACATCAAACTGAGCCCCCCCAGCATCATCCCTAGTGAGGAAACTGAGGCACAGAGCTACGAGGGGACAGTTTGCATGTCCTGGACAGGGTTGAGAGTGTAAAATTGTGCTCACCCCCCTGCCAGGACATAGAAAGGTGCTTTTTAGCTCTGTTCCAAGCTTCCCAAGGGATGCAGGGCCATGATTTGCCTTTCCTTGCATTCAAAGCCCCAAACCATGCTGATATCTGCCTGTCCCCATCACCAGAAGCAGGTGCCCCACCTGCCCCCAAGCCCCCAGACCACCCTTTCTGTCTCATTTTTACTTCAGACCAATATTAACAGCGCTGCCTGAAGTCACAAAACACCCTCCCAACGCTTTGCAATGCGCGCTCCAGGGTCTGACAGAGGCTTGAACCAGAAAGTTGCCTCGTTTCCTCCTAAATCACCTAACATCTGCTTCCCTGAATCTGATTAACTAATACCCTTCAGCTGAAATCCCTGCCTGGGGAAAACAACGTACAAAACACATCTGAGACACAGAGCGAGCGAAAGAGAAGGTCGTTTTGAGGGAGAGCTGGTGTTTTGCCCACCGCACCCCAAGTAAATCGGGGCTCTGGTTCCCACCAGCCCCTCTGCAACCATCAAATCCTCAATGTCTGCAGTTCCCTTCTTGCCACCCATCATCCGTTCAGCCCCACACTCCTGGGGTGAACAACAACCATTTCCAAGGTTATTCCAGAAAACGGGAGATGCTGAGCATCTCTTCCACCCCATCTCCTCCCCATCACCTCTATAGTGGGATGAGAACAGAGGTGATTCCTCCTGTAGCCCTCCCACACCATCACCTATGGGGACTTACCCGCACAAGGCATGGAAGTGCCACCGCTCTCTGCATCTGGGAAGAGAGTTATTAAACACTCATAGGGATGTGTAGGAAAAGCGGAGATGGAAAAAAAAAGTCCAGCCATACCCTTGAAAGGTCCCTTTGGGATAACGCAAGCAATGTCATTTAAAAGGCTCTTCTCTATTTGATTCAGTGTATAATTGGCAGCCCAGCATGACAGGGATGAGCTTTGGCAGGCACGGAGGCAGGATCCGGAGTGGTTCGGAGCCTCGGCCCCACCATCGCCCTGGGAGCCCTAAAACAAGCCGGGGATCCATTGGGAAAGGGGACTGGTGGGGTGCAGGGGACACCCTATCCCCATGCCCTGCTTGCCCAGGGAGGGGGAACCCGGCCACCCACCTCCTGCCCCCACCCGCTCGCCCATGAGCGAGATGGGGGAGGACGTGTCCTTCTGGCGGATGCCACCTTTAATCCCCAATAATGCTCCGGATGGTCCAGAGGGGACACGTCTTGTCCGTGACGTGGCGAGGTCTGAGCCGGTCCCCAGGAGGGAGGTGGAGAGGGGGGACAGGGACCCGCAGAGCGCAGGCACCGGGGGAGAGGTTTACAGCAGGATATAGAGCCCGCTTTGTTATTAATATATAACAATGATGATAAAAAGAGGAGGGGAGGGGAAAGCCCAAGGGTTGGAGCATCCCCCATTGCCCACCTACCTCCTGCCTGTGGCCATGGGTACAGCGGGCTCATTTCCAGGAGGGGACGGTCCGGGTGCCTCCGCCACGTGGGACATCTCCGTCCCACCCCTGGGTGATGGGACCGGCTGCAGCAGCAGGTCCAGGCAGCATTAGTGGGGGACAAGGGACAAGGAAGGGAGGAGAATGCCCCTTCCTCATGCCTGGCTGCCGGCCGGCCTCTGGCTCAGAGCGCAGGGCTGCCGGGCTTATATCCTCCAGGAATAGACACAGAGATGCCCTGGGTGGATGGGACCGGGCAGGTTGGCACCATTCACTGGAATAACTGGGAATCATTTTCATTTCATTTCCCCATTTTCAGTTTCTTTCCTTCCTGAAGCTTGCTGCGCTCACAGGCAGCCTCACCTTGGCTGCTTTAATTCCACTTGGGAACTGGGTTTCACCCTCTACCTTCACCCAGGTTAGCCTCCTATCCTCCTCCTCTTCCTCCTCCTGCGCTCACAGGCAGCCTCACCTTGGCTGCTTTAATTCCACTTGGGAACTGGGTTTCACCCTCTACCTTCACCCAGGTTACCCTCCTATCCTCCTCCTCTTCCTTCTCCTCCATCTCTTCCTTCCAGGCATCTGCATTTGGGGAAGGCAAAGGAGGAGATGGCACATTTCTACCTGTGTGCTTCAGCCTGAATTCCTCCATGGTGACGCTCCTTTGCTCTTGAGGGACCCGATCACCTCAATTTCCCTCCCTCCAGCATCCTTTTCTGTCCTCTGAGCTATTTCTCCCCCAGTGAAGTTAATGAGCACATTAAACATCCCTATCCTGGGGGACAACCTGGGACCTGCCAGCTTGGAGCATCTTATACTCATCTCCAGCCATCTGCGATGGAAAGGGGACACAACAGTATCCAGAGCTTTGATCAGGCCCTTCAGGGCTGGTTTATCATTTCATATACCCCCTTCTGCACCCCTGTGTACTACAGTCCTTAGATTTATCCATTCTAGTGAGCAGCTGGAGATCTGCTAACAAAAGGGCATTAAACCTGCACCTAAATTCAGCCTGTGCCCAGCTCATCTCCAAACCCAGTCTGGGAGGGTTTTGACCACAGGGAGATGGTGTTTGCAGACAAAACCTGACCTCTTTTGGGTCTGTCTGCCCCAGATCTCCCTGGCATTAACCAGGATCAGACCCTGCACCCAGGCAAAGAGCATCCATGGCTGAGGGAAACATGGAGCTGATGGTCAGGGCTGAGAAGTGAGCTTAGCAGAAACCTGCTGTTAATAGGAATATCCCTGAAGTCAAAGCAGGGTTTGTGGTCCAGGGGAGACAGGTACAGGGGGAGATGCCCGGAATAACATCATTGCCTCCAAGAAACAGGACAGTTACACAACTCCCTCATCTCTGGAGGTTTTGGCTACACCCTGGACACCCTTGGGAAGGTTTTGCCTTTAACCAAGGTGACTTTAACACCCTTTTGCTTCAAGGATTTGAATACCCCCCAAGCCAGGCTACCCTGGGCTCTCCTGCATTTCTTTCCCTCTAATCCTCTGCTCTGTGCTCCTGGCTTTACCCAACAGACAAATTTGACCCCTGAGGGTGTCCTGCATCCATCCAGGATGGACAGGCTTCCAGTGAGTGCTGGTATGGGATTGCTGCCTCCACACTCACTGCTGCTGGGGAAGGGGGAGACAAAGGTACCCCACAGCCTGTCCTGCTGCAAGAAGAAAGGGGTTTTATTTGCAGCAGGTCCCTAAATTACTGCTTGGAGCCGTGTTTGCACAGGGAGCTTAATTTTCCCAATGGACAATAAGGCAGAGAACGCCTCTTTCTCCTATGATCTGACCTGGGAGGAACTGGAGCAGAGTGGGAAGGAGATGACAAAAGAGGGGTGCAGACCCCATCTCTGCTCCCATGGAGCAAGGCAACGGCACTGGATTGGATTTTTCCCTCATTCTCAGTCCAAATGATGCTCACAGAGACTGCGGCGTGTGGGTTCTGCTCTGCACCAGGCACGTACTTCACTCCACAGAGCAATTTACTGCAGTAATGAGCCCCTGCTCATTTTCCTCCTAGCAGAACTCATTAGCTGGGGTTCAGCATTGAGTTCAGCTACGTGGCTCCTGAATGGAGCTGGGCAGGGACCATTCCCGGAAGGAAAACAGGGAGTTTCTTGGTTTGCTGCTAGGGAAGATCCTGCAGAAGTTTATGGCTCATCTCCCTCCTTGGGAGAGCTGGTTGCAAAATGAGTTCTGTAAACTCAAGGCAAACGTGTGCAGCTGTGAGGGAATAAGCAGGAGGGGAGATGCTGCAGGCTTATGAATGATAAAATCATGGAGAGAATAATTCAAACCTCTGAGGGGATGAGGGGCTCTGGTAGAAGCTGCCCCTGATTTCAAGTCCTCAGTGTGGGAAATGGAAGAGGCCAGAATACACTGCAATGACACCATAGCACCAAAGGAGCCCAGAGCTCAGGAGCAGCCTGATCTGACCCCCCTCTGCAATACCTCTGCTATCAAAAGGAAAGGTTAAAGTGTGTCTTTAGTCAAGGGGGGAGCAGGATGAGCCCCAACATTGAAACCTGCACATCGTACCAGTAAAGATACGATGAGCCTGAACCAGCTCCTGTGAGCTACCTCCATCTCTGTGCCTCAGTTTCCCCAGGGCTGGTGATGCTCTGTACACCCAAGCAGGAGCCCTGCAGGAAAAGATGCACAGGAGGAAGATCCCAAACTAGATTCCTGGTGCTGGGATGGAGAGGTCCCTTGCTGCTGACCCCCATGACAGGCAGAGGATCATGTCCAGCCAGGCCCCTTTAATCCTCCCCACTTTCCATACTTCATTCTGCTTTTTCCACCCGTATTTCTTTATATTGAAAGAAATCAGATTAGCAGAGAGCCTGGTACACGCAGTACGCGCCATGAGACAGATGAAACCTTTCTGATAGCCAGCCATAGAGCCCCAAATTAATCAGCTATGGATTAACCGGGTCAGGATGTAATTTAATAACGAGTGAGGGTGAATTCCTGCAAGGAGGGAGCCGGCGTGGTCCCACACCGTGCGCACCACCAAAGCTGCTGCAGCTCGACACCAGGAGCAGGGAAAGCCAGATGGGGTGGAATGAGCTCTGCAAAGGGAGCTGGTGAGAGCCTGGGTCCAAGCCAGGCTTTGCTGCAGCTGAGCCCTCCTCATCTTCCCTAGAGGTGCGGTTTTAGCCTGATTCAGGAAAAGGTTTAAATGGGGTTTTGACTACAGGGGGCTGGGGTGGCTGTGGGGATGCTGAGTGGGCTTTTTAGAGGCTGGAGGTCTGCTCTCCACTGGGATTCACAAAGTAATTGTAGCTGCAAAGTGTTTGACACGCTTTAGGATGGACAGATGGACACAAAGCACTCTTGAAGTGCTTTGATTAGCCTGTGCCAGAAGAGATGCAGGGAAGTGCATGGAGTGACCTCTTTCCCCCCCCCGAGCATCCTGGCTCCATCCGGGCGCCGCGATGGGGATGGGGAGGCAGCCATCCTCCCTGCTCTCACCCTCCTGCTTACCGTGGCTGTAACGTGATAAAGACAATTCGATGCCGGATCGATGGGAAACTTTCCCGCTTTCCCAGTCTGTCCAAAAGCGCTGGGATAGAGGCAGAGCCTGACCCAGCGCCCAGAGCTCAGCGCTGTAACCTCAGTGTGCTCCTAGCGACAAAGAAATGACTTTGTCCCCCCCTTCAAAATCCGCACTGGCAGCAAACCCTGTGAGGAGGTTGTTGGCCAGAGCCAAAAATGGATATAGGTATAAATGGAAAGCAATAGGAAGCCGCTAATCAGGTCAGACGGATACCTGCATTGATCCCAATTTCTGCAACAGCAGCAGCTACAAAGAGCTGGTGGCAGGTTTGGGGTCCCGGTGTCACGCAGGGCTGGTGGGATTGTGTGCGGGGCCACTGCAGAGATCAGGGCATTCTCCCAACCCACCACCCCACCGTCCCGTCCAGAGCCGATAGCAAAAGCTGCTTAAGACTTAAAGTGATTGGGATGATGCCAGTGGGACCCTCCTGGCAAAGCTGGGTTCCTCACAGCTCGCACCCAGCGATTGGGAGCGCTTCACCTTCCCTTTTCATCCAAGGATAAACTAAACTTCTCCTCTGGTCACCATCACCCATAAAATACCCCATGGAAAAGGAGAGCAGCGCTCAACTGCTCTAAACCTCCCCACCAAACCCTCCTCTTCAGCTTCACCCCGCTGCAAAGAAGAAGGGAGCAACAAACCCAGCTTTTGCATCATCCTCATCCTCCTCCAGCGCGTGGGGCTCCCGGTCCCCCTGTCTCCATCCTCCTCCTCCTTCAGCTCTGCTGGCCAGGAGCTGCCCGATGGTGCTGCCCCTTCGCCTCTTGCGGGTGCATGGCACAGGGATGCTCGTCCCTCTCCTGCGCTGGGTGGAAAGGCGATGCCAGTACCCACGTGAGCCCGGTGGGACTCCTTGTCCTCATTCTCCTTGTGCCTGAAATGGGTTTTTGCTCCCTCGCTGGGTCCTGCCCACCAGCAGCAGCCGCATCCAGGACCCCAATCCACCACTTTCGTGTCTGCAAATACATGCACGGCCTTTGCTTTCTGAGTGAGGGTGAGGAAGGAGAGGCCCGGAGTGGAGGAAGAGGAGGTGATGCTCAGATGTGACCCTTTTTGTCCTCTCCCTGCAGAGCTGCTCACTGGGGTGCTCTGCCAAATGCAACCAGGACAGTGCTGGTTTCACAGGGACCCTCTTCATTTACACCCACTTGAAAGGGGATTGAAGCAGGATAAACAGGACCCTCCAGTGCTCTCACCACCAACACTGAAGTACCACATGGGTGGACGCATCCAGGGCTCTTCCGGCCATGGATCCCTTTGCCTGGGAACTTCCTTGGCTGCTGCCAGCATCTGGGTCTGACTTTGTTCTTTGACTCTGACTTTGGTGCATGGGAAAATCCTCTCTCTTCCTGGGAGCCTGTGATTGCCATTAAGGAAGCTCCCAAACTGCCGAAGCTTTGGGAGCAGGAACTGCCCCCTGTGTGCTTTTTCCATCCCATTTTTATATGGGCAGGGGTGCTTGTTCCTCTGTGAACCTCTTCAGGGGGGTCACACCTTGCCCATACAACCCTGGCCAATACAGCCAAGAGCAACCCCATTCAGGGGCAGAGCAGAGGTTGCTGGATTCAGCCATAGCCTCTGATGTAGTCGATAGAGCCATCAGGGTTGTTAGCATCACGTTCAGTGAAGGCATCTCAGCTGCCTTTGCAAGCCCCTGCCCAACAGGATTTGATGAATCTGCAGCTATTTCCCTTTCCATCTCTTTCCCCCACCCCTGCAGAGGTCATTGCCTTCCTTCCCTGCCCCAAAACTTCACAAGCAAAGGCAAAACCAACAGCATCACTCTAGAGAGGCAC